AGGGAATGAGTCTTATATTATATAAAACCAGACAGTTTATGAAACTGCACGCTGTTAAAGGAAAGTCACGATGAAGAAAGGAAATGGTTTTCTAGTAGGCAGAATGCTCTCGAAACCAATTCACTTGAGTGAGACAAAGGAGAGCGGAATTTCGTGTGTAGGGATGAAATCCGTAACTTGAATGAAAGGATGGGAAGCGCCTAAAAGAAAGCCTTTTTCGATATTTCTAATAGGTCGTAGTACCTACCCTTAGAATACAGCTTTCACAAGCTTTTGATTAAAAAGAAATGACTTTGTAGCACCTCCCCCGTAGGTCGAGTGGCTTCCTAAATAGGGGGAGTAGCCTAATCCTCTTTGCCGGTCATAATGAACTCGGCGATTATGTTTAAATGCATGAGCTCAACCCCAGTTCCTATGGAAGATATGTTAGTGGAAGGTAGGCACCTTCAGTATAGAGGGTTAGGGAGTCTTGAACAGTCAATAACAAGCGAGCAAAGGTGAGCGATCAGTCAACAACAAGGGAGCGAAGGAGTTCTATCTATCAAATTCTAGAAAACTCCAAACAGATCTACTCCTTACTCAAATTCGAAAGTTATACCGATGAGGATTAGCTCTTAAGACAGCTCTGCTTACTAGGATACCACGTGATACACAATATGAGATTAGACAGAACAAAAGGACTCTATTTTCAACTTTGTTCCTATAATCTATGGCCTAACAGAACGCAGTAACAAGGGAATATTCAATCTCATTAATAATTGTTAATACAGATAACGAATTGTAAGTATGATGGATGAAAACAACAATAAATTGTAAAGCAGAAACACTAAAACCAACAATGAATTGTAAACCAAAATAATGAAAATTATAATTTCAAAAGTACAAGGACGTAAGGGGTTGTTTGGCCGTTGCCGAATGATTTTGTGCAGAATGATCAAGTGGTCAGAATGATTAAAAGGCTCTCATGATATAGTGTAAAATGAAATATAACTGTTTGGTAATTGTTTACAATGAAATTAGGGCGCTGAATGGTTAAGGGAAACTCATGATACAAAATCATTCAGAGAGTTTTAGAACCATTAAGAGGCAGACTTTGTTTTTGCCAAACAAGATTCGCCTCTTAAGGATTCAGATGTTGCCTCTTAATAGAACTATTAAGAGGTAAACAAACAATTTTCAACAAACCACAAGGACGGAAAAATGTACTTTACTCTAAATTGTTTATAGGATAATAATATACCCAGTAATAAATTTTTACGCAACGTTATAAAAGCATTCTAAAATATTTAAAAAAGTTTCGCTTCAATCCCAATCGATATTGCAAATGTCATGGGGATTAACTTGTGGTTATAAAACGTCATGATCGGTCTTTTTGACATAACGACCTGCATTTTATAGATATACGAATAATAATAATACAACAAGAACATGTATAAAGTAACTGTCCTCTGAAGTAGTTTCTGCTTTTTTATAAATGCATTATTAGTACCTGTAAAATAATAATGAAATACGTCGAAGCAATAAATAAAGCTGATGATGACTCGAATCCCGAGTGTGGATGACCAAAAACTTTAAATGTAGTCGTCCAATTAATTATTTGTCGTGTCGTTGGATAAATTCAATGATATCAAATAAATCATGTGTGGTGTTTCAGATGTCACATGTTAGAGGTAAACGATGATTCGTATTATTAAACAAAATGTCCGTTTCCCATTTGTCCATGTCCCACATATGTATTACATCTCGTTTCATCACTCATCGGTATACTGGTTGAAGCGTGTTTTAGATCTGCATCGTGCCACATTTACTATCAAATGCAGGAAATGTAGCCCCTACTGTATCAACATCTCTGTTGCCGAACTCTGGTAACAATCTTATGAAACTGCTAATTGGGCCAATTTGCATGCATTGTCTTTTCGAAGTGTCCTATCGTGTTGGTACATGATTTTTTCATGTGTCGTCTCAACTTGGAATTTTCTTGAGCAGTAAGTAGATTTTCACGTTTTTTTAACTGTGTTTTTATTTCCCATCAACAACAACCAGATTACGATTTTCTCAAACCATAACTATTCAACCACGGTATGAAATAAATAAGAAAATACGTTCAAATTGTAGCTGGTAAACGAGTTGTGAGCAGCAAGTGGATCATTTGAGGATCAAACTAGCAGAAGTAATTCACCATATTTATCACATCAGTATTTTCAAGCGAAAACTAGAGATAAAGGAAGGGAAGATGAGGAGAAAGAAGAATGAAGAGAAGTTGAACAGTATTTAAAGGATCAATGAACAATTTAAGGTATGAATCTGATACCATTTTCTATGTTTATGCTTCTACTGCAGTTAATGCATGATCTGTAATAGCATCTCGAACAGATTCTCTAAAATACAAAAAATTGAGATTTTGTTTTCTATTCTGCTCCAAGAATTTATCTATAACTTTACTGTAGATAATTCTCTAAAACTTGATCTGAGGAGAGAGAAATATTTTTTTTAAACCTTGATTTGATGAGATTGAATTATCACTATTTTATATAATAAAAAATTAAAAATGTATTGGAACGATGAAATTATCGATTGTTTTATTAATATAATTAATGTTGAAATCTTTAAAATAAAAAATTTAATGGAGTTAAATTTAATTAATTTAGATATAAGTGTTTTTAATGTGTGAACTTAAGGGGGTGTTTGGGATTGCTTATAAAAACAACTTATCGACTTATTCTGGTGTGACACCGGTAATAAGCACTTCTGAGTGTTTGGATAAGCAACTTATACCGGTGTCAAACCGGTAATAAAAAGTTTTTGAAGAAATTAAATATTTCTGAATTATGATAAGTTGATAATGTTTTTTGTAGAAAAATATAAGTTGTTTCAAATAAGCAATCCTAAACACCCCCTAAATATTAAAGCTTCAAGTCCCATAGAAGGAAAAACAATAGCAACTTCACGATAATAATAACCAATAGAAACAGATACCAATAGCAACTTCACGAGCTTAAATGCTAAAGCTTAAGCAGTTTTCCATAGAAGTGTTGAACCATAGAAGATAAAAAAAAATACTTATAAAAACAATAAACAACAGTATAAAACAAAAAGTCAGTTAAAATTCTTACAGATTTTTTTCTACAATATAATTTGTTTGTATCAAACTACATTTTTTTACTACGTTGTATACTTAAATGAAATTGAAGTCCCTGTTTGTTCGAACCCTAAACAGGCAGGTGAACTTTGTCTTGTAAGAACGACCTTGTTTTCTTTTCCCCCACCAGTGTCAGCGACTCTTTTGTTTCCTTATGCAGACGAAAGTGAAGTTTTTTATAGTAGGGGTATTTTAGTCATTTTAAACCATTTTAACTAGATTTAACGTAACCGACACAAATTACAAAGTTGCATGAAATCTTTTACCCTTTTATTATCTACTGATAAAAATGATACTTTTTTTTTATTTCAGTTGTCTCGATGTACGTTTTCCTACATAAGAATAATTATTATTCAGGTGGTATATACGACGTCATCTATTCTAGACCTGTTGAGAATTGAAAGAGGGAGGTAGCCGCAAGTAAGAAGACAAAACCAAAACAACACTGAAACGTTTTAAAGTTTCTTTGTCTTTTCTTTTCCCAACAAAATCTTATCTTTCTAAAGGCAAAAACAAAACTTATGGGCCGTTTACTTAAATGCTAACCCGGTAAGCGCTTACCGTTAGGAGTCAACATTGTAATTTATTTACCGGGTAAGATTGTAGTATATCAAAATGGTATCGTATGCAACAATTTACCCAGTAGGCGCTTACCTGGGTAAGAATCGTCACCCTCACTTACCGAGTAAAACTCTTCATCTTTATATCATTACACTTACCGGGTAAGATTTTTGACTTTTGTCATGTTCATCCGGTAAGGAAAATTACTCAGTTAGCACTTACCGGGTAAGTGTTTAGTAAACAGTCCCTTACACTTTTTTTGGTTTATGGTTGGTTTTAATCTGATTTAGATCGATTGGGTTCTTTGTTTCGTTAATTTCTTTTACTTTTGGTTTCTATCATGTCTTGGTTCAGTTCGATTTCGATCTAAAGCAGACCCTTAGTTTAGACGGGTTTGATTTTTAGTTCTAATGTTCTCAAGTTTTGGTTGACCTCTGGTTAGGGTTGTCAGTGTTAAATGTATACTGTATATTTTTGTAAAAGTGTTCAAGTTTTATCGTTGATTTAAATCTATTTCCATAATAAATATAAATTTATATTTTACTGAAACTCTAAGATAAATGATATTTAATAAATTTTCAATCAGAATCAGAAGTATGATCTTTTAAAAAAAATTAGCTCATAGTATAAAACAATATACCCCTGGTTTAAAAAGTCCGCTTCCAACCACAAGGGTGGTGCCTGATTGGTTTGAGCTTGGCTCCAAAGGTCAAAAGTATCAGAAGGTCCCAGGTTCAAATCCAAGGAGAAACAAAAATCCCCTTATGGCGACGGAAGTTCAAATGCGGTGACTCAAGGCTACGTACAAAACAGGTGGTCGTCCTGGGATTAATCGGCTCACATAGCAGGTTGGATATTCAGGTTAATAAAAAAAAATCTGCTTCCATTAAAAAGAAATAGGAAATACACTAAAGGCCAAACCAACTTCTCAAGCATATCATTGAGCTAAATAGCCCACGTTTTTACCCAACCTCATTACATGTAAAATTACTAATTTACCCTTATGCATTTCGAATCTTTTCTAACCATTTTCCATCATCAATAATTACAAAAAGGAATCCCATGGCATGTATAAGCATGATTTTCCTAAAATAACCAAGAAAATTTATAAGAAAAAACCGAAAAGAAGAATCCAATCAATTAAAGGGTAAATTTGTCATTTTCATCTTGCTAATTCGCTGTGTAAAGTCGCATTTAACTCCAGTTGTTCATCCTCCCATCTTGCCTTAGACACCACTCCATCATGCATCGGCACGTAATCCTGTAATACCAAATTAACAAACACCATATGTGTTAATAAGTTGTACGGTACACTTAAAATTTGTTAGATGAGATTCAGAGCAACTACTGGAAAGGTGGTTTTCCAACCAATGTGTCACCGACAATACAGAGGAACGATAATCTTTGAAAGGTACCTCGAGTTTTTGTACAAGTTCTTTTGCAGTTGCGGCAGATACAACGATATGACGTTGAACTGCCTTTATGAAACCGTCATCCACTGCTTTGTCGATGAATGTCAGTAGGGAATTGTAAAATCCGTCCACATTCAACAACCCCACCTGCCCAAGACCCAAATTTTCAATTAATAAGACTCGACTGACCATAAACAATACCTTTTCAATTTCCGTGTTGTGTCTTGTATCATTCGACTAACTATATAATCAATGTACATGTCGAACACAACTGATATACAAATGTGCATTTCCATATTTAGCCAAGCAGATAAAAGTTAAGGGTTAGTTTCATATTTGTTTGTAACCTACAACCACTAGCCACACCTCCCAATTTCAAGAGTATCCTGTGAGAAGCAAATTATGTGTAAAACAGTCTACAGCTAGATGACTGACTTAAGAGTACAGTACAGTGTCTATAAAGAGTCCAATTCCCAAAGGGATTTTTAACTCCCGCACACTGAGTCTATCAAACTCGGATTTTCGCCTGTTTGTGTAAGTATACATTGTAATCTACAATGTTGAGCCGCTCATATGCAACCCTAAAAATACCATGTAAGAAGCAAATCAGGTATAAATCAGTTCAGTAAGGTATTAACTTAATTATAACAGTCCAGTGTCCACAAGGAATCTAACCCTGACAAAGAATTATAAGTTCTCGCACATTATTTTTGTCATACTCGAATTTTCGTCTGTTTGGTGAAAATATATATAAACATGTATTTCCATCTTTAGCCAAGCAGATAAAAATTGAGGGTTAGTTTCATGACTTACAGGCTTGTCATGAATCCCTAGTTGAGCCCATGTAATGACCTCCAATAATTCCTCCAATGTCCCATATCCACCTATTCAATATATACACATTAAACAGACAGAGAGGCGTTCAGGTAAAAATTCCTAAAAAATAACTGAGGAACACTCTGATAACCATTCATTTATACTGTTTACATATGTACATACGCATAATTGACGATGATTTATGATTTTTATACATGGACATATCAGACAAATTACTTACATACACTTTAAACAATATATAGGGTTGGGTCCACGTGAGACCAAGGGTTTTTCGTGAGACCTGTAAGACTAATTTATGTTCATTAATCAACTTTATAAGCTAATGATCTAAAGTTGCATGGTGGCAATCTTGTGATTATTAAGAAGTCTAGTGGCAATTTTGTGATTATGAATGTTCAGATCGTAGATCTAATCCAAGGGTTCAGAATTGGTCTTATGGGTCTCACGAAAAACCATTGGTCTCATATGATCCCAAGTATATATATATATATATATATA